GTGTGTTAGATAAGGGAGACATACAAAAGGTGCAGGGCAGGGGGCTTCCAGGACAGGTTTGGGAACCACTGCCTTACAGGATTTAAACTTACAACCTTCCATTGTGAAAATTGTTACTTGATTTATTGAAGGGATAGTTCTCTGGAGCAAGTGCCAAGCTCAAGGGCAAAATGTTGAGGCATAATGTATGAACCCTTGCATGATTTGAACCTAAAACCTTCCAAATTCCGAGGTCAGGGTTGACAAGTTTTTTTAACACTGCATTTGCACTTTAAACATTTGGCACTGCAATGCAGAGGTAACCCTACTAAAGCAGAGAGTGGCTTTATAATCATATTCAGAATTCTACCTCTGGAACACCACTATCCAATCAAAGCAAAATATCAATGTTTGAAAAGTCATTGCAATATAGGTGTTGGTTTCTGCTCAAATAATACATGTACTGTCATAATCTTTTAAGATGATTGCTTTTGTGTCCACACAACTTATTTTTTTCCTCAGTGAAGGCATTTTTCCCTTGAAGGCTCACATACTTTTGTTTTGGCAGATGGGAAAAGGTTCTTTTAAGTACGCCTGGGTTCTGGACAAGCTGAAGGCCGAGAGGGAGAGAGGAATTACCATAGACATTTCACTCTGGAAGTTTGAGACCACCAAGTACTACATAACTATAATAGATGCTCCAGGACACAGAGACTTCATCAAGAACATGATCACTGGGACGTCTCAGGTAAGACAGTTCTAGCTCAGTTACAACTATTTACGAGAACTGGTGGCATATCGATGCTTGGTGAGAGGATCCCTAATGCCTGTAGATTCATTTTAGTATCTTTACCTTTAAACCATGTGTCTCACATTCTTTCTCTCCCAGGCGGATTGTGCTGTTCTAATTGTGGCAGCTGGAGTGGGTGAATTTGAGGCGGGCATCTCTAAAAATGGGCAAACAAGGGAGCACGCCCTGCTGGCCTACACACTGGGCGTCAAGCAGCTGATTGTAGCCGTCAACAAGATGGACTCTACGGAGCCATCCTACAGCGAGAAACGCTATGATGAGATTGTTAAAGAAGTGAGCGCCTACATCAAAAAGATTGGTTATAGCCCTGCCTCGGTGCCCTTCGTCCCAATTTCAGGTTGGCATGGTGACAACATGCTAGAACCATCTTCTAATGTGAGTCTTCATGGCATATGTGTGTTTGTGTTCAGTTCAGCAATGACCTTATACCGTTTGGCAGTTTCCAATTAAACTGGCAGAATGCTAGTGATTTGATTAATAAAATCATCTAATTTGTGCTGTGCAGATGCCGTGGTTTAAAGGCTGGAAGCTGAACAGGAAGGAGCACCATGCCAGTGGCGTTACTCTACTGGAAGCTCTCGATACCATCATGCCTCCAACACGCCCCACTGACAAACCCTTACGTCTGCCCCTACAAGATGTCTACAAGATTGGAGGTGGGATTAACCCACTCAAATCATGCACATTTTATGGGGTGATGGTATTTTTAAGATCAGCTTGTAGTTATATTTCGAGTTCAGAAAGCTACTACATCACTGTGTGTACAGAACATGCGTATTCAGAGGTGCCATGTCTTTCTCCTCAGGTATAGGGACCGTGCCGGTGGGCAGAGTGGAGACGGGTATCCTGCGGCCCAGTATGGTGGTGACCTTTGCCCCAGTCAACATCACTACAGAGGTGAAGTCGGTGGAGATGCATCACGAGTCTCTGAGTGAAGCTATGCCGGGAGACAACGTGGGCTTTAATGTGAAGAATGTGTCTGTAAAAGACATAAGAAGAGGTAATGTGTGTGGGGACAGTAAGTCAGACCCGCCTCAGCAAGCATCAGGGTTTACAGCACAGGTGGGGCAACAGTCTTTGCCAACTTGTTTGTTTGTCTTGATATCTTTCTTTGTTTCTATCTGGATTTCTATTCTTTCTCTCTCTTTTTATCAGGTCATCATTTTGAATCACCCAGGACAGATCAGTGCAGGGTACTCTCCTGTCATTGACTGCCACACAGCTCACATTGCCTGTAAATTTGCTGAGCTTAAGGAGAAGATTGATCGTCGTTCAGGCAAGAAGCTGGAAGACAACCCCAAAAGCCTGAAGTCAGGAGATGCTGCCATTGTGGACATGATCCCAGGAAAACCAATGTGCGTGGAGAGCTTCTCTCAGTACCCTCCACTGGGTATGTGTCCGCTTCCCAACCTTACAGTAAATGTTTCTGAATCAATTTGCCAGTTTTTTTATTTTTATTTGTATTTTAGTTTGCTTGGCTCTGTTTTGTTTTCTTTTATGGTTTGTTTTGTTTTGCTTTTTCTTTTTGCTTTTATGTTTTGTTTTGCTTTTCTTTTAAGTTTTGCTTTCTTTTCTTTTGTTTGGCTTTGCTTTATTTTATTTTGTTTTGTTTTATTTTGTTTTGCGTTGCTTTTTAAAATTTTATTGATATATATATACTTATTTGTTTGTTGATTATATAGTTTTTTTCATCATTTCTAACAGTATGAATATTTCTTTTGGCAGCTTATTCATGGTAACATAGATGGGGTGGAAAATATTAATACCTAATTAGTCTGCTAATGAGTTTTTTTCCTGCCCTGTAAAACAATCCCCATATAAGAGACTTTAAAAAAGACGCAATGATTCATGTACGTTCTTCTCAAATTACAAGAACCAAGCAAC